CATACACAGACCCCCCCCAAGCCCACACCCCCTCATACCTCCACACACAGCCCTGCACAAACCCCATACCCACCCACACCCCACATATCCATACACACACGCACATGCTCCCTCAACCCATTCACACCCCCACACAAACCTATACATACCCCCCATTCCCTAAAACAATGTTCCCTCTAAGGAAGTAGCAATCTGTGAGTGCGCTGCTTCAGTCCCGCCTCCCTCTTCAGCACAGTCCACTAGTTAGTGTCCCACAGTAAGGTAAAATTGATGCTGTGGCCCAGCTATGGGCCGGACACAATCAACTGACAGAACTGAAAGGGAAGCACTGGGGCCAGGATGGGACTCTTACTGAAGGTAAGCTCCTCACTCTTCAAGCAGGGCAGGCAGCGGTTCCTCCCCGAGGTGAGGCAAGGCAGGGCTGGGACTGGGGCCGGCGTGGGCTCCACTGGCTCCGGGAAACTGCTCTGCGGGCTTCGCCGGCTCCAGGGAACTGCTTCACTCCCCAGCCCTGATGCCATATGCCTCCTCGCTCCCCGAGGCAATGCAGGGGTGTGAAATAGTTCCCCGGAGCCAGTGGGGCCCATGCCAGCCCCCAGCCCCTGCCTTGGGGAGGAGCCGCTGCCTGCCCCGCATGAGGAGTGATGAGCTTACCTTCGGTAAGTGTCCCACGCTGGCCCTGGTGCCTCTGCTGCACTCCAAACCCAGGTCCTCTCCGGGCAGGTGCACGGCAAGATTTTTATTTGTACACGGCCGCGCATGCATGCAGCTTAGAGGGAACCTTGCCCTAAACCCCACTAATAGGTAAGAGTAAAACTTCATTTTAAGCTATTGTGCAATCACCTCTGTGTACACTATGCAAATGCATGTAAATCAGGACAATTTTTTTTTTAAATCAAATTGATGAATATTGTAGATGTTCACTTTTTAGAATATAATTTGGTATTTTTCTGGTTCTGAGATGGCAAAACCACTTGCTGAAAGGAGTACTTCTGGGGGCAAGGAGAGGGACTTCTAGTGGCAAAGGCTGCAGGTTAGAGGGCAGGACTTCCGGTCACAAGATGGCAACCAAGGGGCGGAGCACCTGTCAAGGGGCAGGGCTACCCATGTGGCCCTCAACAGCTTGCCAAAACTCAGTAAGCAGCCCTCTGCCCAAAATAATTGCCCACCCCTGTTAATGCTATTCCTCAACCTCCAAGAATATATAGGGTTGGTATCTTTTTAATATTTGTACAAGATTAGTATGGAGAATGGCATTTTATTAAAAAATATGCATAAAAGGCCAGTTCTTGTTTAAATCTAAGATGGAATTATTACAAGAAGTCAATAATTAACAATAAGAATATAAAATATTAGAGTTTAAAAAAAATACACACACCACACACACTCTCCCTTTAGAAAATTAACATGTCTTTTGAAGTATTGAGACAAAGGAAGCACCTGGAAGGAATAAGATGAAAATAATTCTTTTCACTTTTATAATGCTGTTATTATTATAAACATTGTTGTAAAACAAAATTTTCTCTCCCCGAGAGCGCATGAGGCCATTCTAACTGCTATTCAATGTCAGTTTTAATTTTTTCTGATCAATACAATGAACATGATAAAAACCAGATAATTACATATGCTGAGCAAAGCTGCTGACAACTCTGCAGGGAACTAGCAAATGGAGAAGGTGGGTTGGGAAAACAACTGTGGCGCATATATAAAGAACAAAAGATGTGTGTGTGTGTTTAAAAGCCACAACTTAGATTTTTTTTTGTATTACATGTAGCCTTATTGTTTTTAATGCAACAGTCCCCATTTTGATTTCTTGACAGAAAGGACTTCGCGCACAATATTGAAACTTCAGTATTTAGTTGCAGAGAAGTCAGACAATTCAGATTCAGAATTCTAATACCAAATCTAATTTCATTTCTCTACTTATGTAAATAGTTTTAAAAAAACAGTAGATCATCTCATCTGATCCCAATACAATTTTTAAAATATATCCTGCAACTCTAGACATACTTGTATAGCACAGAATTTCTAATTACTGCATATCTTCAAGGTGAATTTTAATAATTTTCTCCTTGAAAAATGCGTATAGTTTAAAAATATTTTATTCGAAATAAATTAGATATGGATGACTTCAAAGTGTTTAAAATGACTAATGTCCTGATTTGGGGGGGTAATACCAGTTAATTTAGAAAACTTGAACCTTTTGCTAATTAACTGTCATGCTTTTATAAAGATAACAGAAGAAATCCCTTAAATTACTAAAACTTCCTAAAGAAATAATTTTACTTAGTTAAGACCTGAATTTTCAAAAAAAGTTCATTAGGATACAACTCCCAATGAAAAATAAAATCAATGCGAGTTGTTAGGTTCTTTGGATAATCCCATCCTAAAACAAAATTTTAAATGAGAATAATTTACATAAGAGCTTTTCTGTGTAGAGACAAGAAATACACATTTAACAGTTCTTAGTCTTGTACATCATGCATATCCTAACATATTACCAGAAGAATACTATAAAAGCAAAATAATCAAGGAGTTGACTCAATTTTCTACAAAAAGTAGGCTCTTCCTTAAAATTCTAAATATGATCTCCATCTTGTTTTACTTCTTGGAAAATTTCTTATCATAAAAATCATTGAAAGTTAGGGTTGGAAGGAACCTCAGGAGGTCATCTAGTACAGTGGTTCCTAACCTTTGCAGACCATGGACTGGCATACTGCGGAGTGGCAGCCAACCCTTTCTTATACTGAGTAGCAGCAGTCAACCATTGTACACTCAATATAAAAAACGGGTTGGCTGCTGCTCTGCAGTATGCGGGTCACTTCCAGACTTCCAGTCCAGAAGCCAAACTTCCTACTGACTGGCAGCCAACCCTTTGTGGCCCAGTACTGAGCCATGGCCCGGGGGTTGGGAACCACTGATAGTCCAACCCCCTGCTCAAAGCAGGACCATCCCCAACTAGATCATCCCAGCCAAAGCTTTGTTTGGGTCTTGAAAACCTCCAAGGATAGAAATACCAAAACCTCTCTGGGTAACCTGTTGCAGTGTTTTACTACCTTTCTGTGAGAAAATTCTTCCTAATATCCAACTTAAACTTCCCTTGCTGCAGCTTGAGACAGTTGCTCCTCGTTCTGTCATTTGCCACCAACGAGAAGAATCCAGATCCATCCCCCTCTGAAACCCCCCTCAAGCAGCCAAAGGCTGCCACCAAATCTTTCCTCACTCCTCTCCTCCCCAAAACAAACAAGCCCAGCTCCCTCAGCCCCTCCCCACAAGCCATGCGCCCCAGCCTCCCCACTATTCCCACTGCCTTATGTAGACTGGTTGCAGGGAGTTGAGCATCTCCTCTGTAGTGGGGAGCCCAAAACTGAATACAGCACTCCAAACATGGCCCCACCAGTGCTGAACACAGCTGAAGAATCATCTCCCCCAACCCACTGGCAACACACCCACCAATGCAACTCAGTATGCAGCCCTCCCTGCAACAAGGGCATACCATTGGCCAATGTTCAGCTCACTGTCTACTGTAACCCCAGATCCTTCATTGCAGAGCCGCCACACAGCCAATTAGCCCCCAGCCTGCACTGGCATATGGGACTGTTCTGTCCTACGTACAGGACCCTGCACCTGCCCTCGTTGAATCTCATAAGACCTCCTTCGGCCCAATCCTCCAACCTGCCCAGATCACCCGAATCCTAGCTCCAGCCTCCAGTGCATCTACCACTCCCTGCAACCTGGTGTCATCTGCAAACTTACCAAGGGTGCACTGCATGCCACCCTCCAGGTCACTGATAAAGACATCGAACAAAACTGGCCCCAGGACCAATCCATGGGGCACTCCACCCAATACTGGCTGCCACCAGACCACCACCCTCTGAGCCCAGTGCTCCATCCAGCCTTCTATCTACCCCACAGTCCACCCACCCAGCCCATACCTCCCCAGCTTGCCCACAAGAATGCTGTGGGAGACTACATCAAAAGCCCTGCCAAAAATCAAGGTATACCATATCCACCAGTTTCCCTGCATCCACAGAGCCAGTCATCTCATCATAGAAGGCAATCAGGCCAACCAGACGTGACTCACCCCAGGCAAACCCACACCAACTGCTCCCAGTCACCTTCCCCACCCTCCGAGTGTTCAGAAATGGACTCCTCAAGGACCCACTCCATGATTCCTCCAGTGACCATGGCGAGACCGACCAGTCTGCAGTTCCCCAGGTCCTCCCTCCACCCCGTCCCAAACATTGGCACCATGCCTGCCCTTCTCCAATAATACCTCTCCCAATAGCCACAAGCCCACAAAAATGATGGCCAGAGGCTCCACAATGCCACCAGCCAATTCCCTTAGCAACCTCAGGTGCATCCCATCCGGCCCCATGGGCCTTCACATGTCCAGCCCCTCCAGTCTCCAACCTGTTCCTTCACCACTGTTGGCTGCCCACCACCCCCCCAAACTGTGCCACCCAGTGCAGCAGTCTGGGAGCTGAACTTTCTCATGAAGACTGAGGCAAAAAAGGCACTGAGCACTTCAGCACCCCCCCTGCATCCTCTGTCACAAGGCTGCCTCCCCCATTCAGTAATGGACCCACATTTTCCCCAATCCTCCACCTGCTACCAACATACTTGTAGAAACCCACCATTACCCTTCACATCCCTTGCTAGCTGCAACTTCAACTGCGCTCCACCCCCGCCCCAACGCCATCCCTCCATACCCAAGCAACGCTCTCACACTCCTCCCCAGTTGCCCGTCCAAGTCTCCACCCCTTATAAACCTCCCCTTTGTGATCCAGTTCACCAGAGGATTTCCCCGCCAACCCAAGCTGGCTTAAGCTATTATCCTAATAGCTCAAAGGTAATAAATAACAAGGAGCATATTCTAATGTATTCCAATAATTATTAAGCATTTACCTGCTAAATCCTCTCTGGAAGCAGCAGAATGTGGGGTGCTGGTCCCTGGCTCTATCTTTAATGAAAGCCTGCATTAAAAAAGAATAAAGATTAAAACTAACTCTTCCAAAGCTGAAGTTTTATGATTTATGCTAAAAGGATTTTCACTACCACAAGTGTAAGACAGACTATTGTACCAGAAATTCCAGCTTATGTATCACCTCTAACAAAACAATCAAAAGGAGCAATAAACAAGCCATTTCCCCTATTCTGAGATAAATGCATACTGATTATACTTCATATTTTGAACTTTCCATGTGTGGAGAAAATGCCCCAAGTCCATCTCTGCTGTGAGGCAGCACCTCCTCCTCCCCCATGTGTGTTCCCTGCCTACAGGACTACTAAGGCCTAAAAATTCAAATGGGAGGGGGAATCTGCTCCTCCTTTTGTCTCAGGTTCCCACCCTTGCAGATCAGGTGACTAGTCATTTCACCTGGTCAGTCTGATGTTATTTGGAAGCACCTGTCAGCAGCTAATGGATCTGCTTCTGGTGGGAACTTAGTGATGAGGTAACAGCAGGTATACAAACCCCCCCCTCCATGAGGAAGTGGGGCAGACATGTTTTGGGAACACAGCAGACAAACTATGCAGCCTCCATAGAGAAAGCTTAGTCAAATTCTGGATGCAACTGTGAGCAACTTACTTGGATTCCAGCTAGTAATGTAGGATGAAGTGATCTAGAAGCATATCAAAAGGCTAACAAGCCGCTTCTATTTGCTCAGGGTCATTCTTTTGATACTACTCTGACTGGTACCCCTCTCCATACCTCTCTACCCAATAAAGCCATCTGTTATTACATGCCTTGTTATATATGCTTGAGAGGGATTGTTGTACATGCTTGAAAGGCAGGCCTTTTTGCTTCCTTTGCTCAGTGGACTAAGGGAGGCTACTTTCTGTGTTTCAGGCTATAAGAAGCACCCAGATATATCCTGCTGGGGCTAAGCAACCCCTAGGTCTGCAGGACCTGTGTACCCCAAGTGGCACAGGGCCCAACAGAGACCAAAGCTCAGGTGGTGGCAGCGGTTACCCCAGACTGGTGGGTGTGCTCCAGGAAGGGGGTTGGCCAGAAGTTGGCATCCCCGGGGAGGCATCCGCACCTTGGCTTTGGTTGTGTGCAATGAGGCAGGTAGCTCAGTGAAGAGCACCCCCTACTGTCCCACCACACCATGCTAACAATGTGCAAAAATGATAATAAAGTAAACCTGTTTGTGCTCATCTTTAATTTGTTATAAATAATGAGAAGCTCTACAACATTATACCAATTTATTATTAATTGTTGGTGCAATATATAATCATCTTGTGTGGGCTAATAATACTACCTATTTCCATTTACTTTAGATAGAAATGCTCTTCAAAGTTCTTTAATGCTATTGTGAAGTGACAGACTATTAGTAAGATAACTTCAATTAGTAAAATGAGCCAACTAAATGTTTTGATCAAATAGATATTTTTAAATGAACATGAATTTAGAAAGAGCAATCTTTAGGAACAAGAGTAAATTTATAGAGGTAATAGCTTTTTCAAACTACTAGAGTAGCATAACTTCATGACAAAGGAAACTAAGGCCATGGACAGATGTTATATTTGTAGCAATGTATACACCATTGTAGTACTACAAGAAGTGGGTGCGTAAATGTGTAAACTGCCCTAGTGGTACCAAAATAGTGCAAGTGTGACTACTATATTTCCCTAATTCAAGATGACCCTGAATTCACAATGACCCCCAATAACTAGATTCTGTAAAGGGTAAATTATAACACATTTATAAATTTAAATGTGTTATAACTAGATTCTATACCAGGAGAGTTATTGAAGGGATACTTTAAATTCATGCCCCTATCGCTGCAGGGAGGCAGGTAATATGGGGGCATGTAATAGGGCAGACAGCCGGAAGGGCAGTAAGGGGACAGGCAGTGGGGGAGAACAATCAGATACAGACAGTAAGGAGGGGGGCAGGTGGTAGGGAACAAGCAGTTTGACCCTTGCCACCTGTTTCCCCTCCCCCCCGCCCCAACACACGCACTTATGCCATCCTTGTGCCATCCCCCCTTGCAGCCTCAGGACTGACCCTTTTCCCCCTATGCTGCTTCTGACCACTGAAGCCTTAGGCCCCCACCCCTGCTTTCTCTCATCTCCCCTTCCCTAAAAATTTCTACCTTCCACCTGCTTCTCTCCACCTTACTCTTATTCCAGTTCTGGCAGGCTCTGTCCCTGCTCCATTCTGGGGAATGGAGCACAGCCCCAGCCACACAGCAGCAGTGTGGAGTAGGCGCTGTTGCTACAGGGCTGGGCTAGAGCCTTGCTCTCTGCTCCAGGCTGCAGCAGGGATGGAAGCTGCCAGCCCTGGAGCAAACGTAAACTGGGTGGGAAATAAGTGTAGCAGAAGTGACACTGGGGAGACAGTGGGGGGGGGGGGGGGGGCAGGCAGCAGCTGTGGCTCCAGCCCCAATCTGGGGTTGGGGCCAGAGCTAGAGCAGCTGCCTGCCTCCTACTTGATTCCAAGACGAGGGGCTCCCCCCACCATCTTAAAATAGGGGTGGGGAAGCCTAGTCTTGGAATCAAGAAACTACAGTGTCACAACCCAAAAGGTGTGATTTTTATTTGTGTGCGCTTCGGCACTGCTAAATTGTCCCCGCTAAATTGCAGCTTCCTTGCACAGTGGAGTTTTCTGCTGCAGAGGAGAACCCCGGTGCAAGGGAGAATTTCCCACCAATTTGGAGCTTGCTTTGCAGGGTGCATTTCTTTGCTGCAGAGAGGAGATGCTCGCAAGGGAGGAGGAGACTTCACGCTGTGTGAAGATCTCTAAGCGCTGTGGATCCTCACGAACCCAGTGCATTTGAAGCAGGCAACAGAGATCTGATCAATCTCTAGCCTCTCCCCGTCGCCGATAGAATTCCTACACTTACCCCTCCCGCATGCTACGAACTGAACCCACGGAGCCTAGCAAACTTCGTGTGGATGAGTGAACGGAAGAACCCACGGAGCCTGACAAACTTCGTGTGAGCCCTTACGATTGGCCTCAGAGCTCTTCTACCCGGGTTCGAGTCCTGCAGGTTTATTTTCTCGTCGCCGGAACCCTATGCGACGTACCCTCGTGTTCTGCAGGTTCGAGTTTTTGTTTTCTTTTCTCTTTCTGTAACTGCAACTTAAATCAAGCTTTCCAGCCTACACCATTGTCATCTCAGTGTAAGTAAACAATCTTTTAAACTACCGATACGTGTCCGTGCCTAATTCCAGAGCGAAGGCCTTCCCTCTCCACAGCCCGCGTGCAGCGCGAAAAAGGGCTCGGGGCACTCCCGGCCCACACATACAGTAGCAAGATCCTGGATAAAATAGGAACTCTCTCTGCAGTGTTACATTTTGCAGCGCTGCATGTAACATCCAAACAGTACATGTACCACTATAAGAGAAATCTCTTCCTCCCACAGCGTCTCAGTCCTCTACTCTGTTCCCCACCCATTACCAAGGCTTAATGACTACCAGCTATTCCCAGATCCAAGTGTCAGTGACAGGAAGCAGAGATATAATCTATCTGGGACCTGAGACAGTAGCTCTGCATAATGCCACAGCAGGGACCAGTACTACTACTGCCTTTACTACTGCTGCAGCTGAAGCAGGAACCATTTTTGCAGTTGCAAGGATCAGGTGGAACAGGATCACAGACAGGCTCCCTCCCAACAATATGAGGGGGCAGGTAACCAAGGAACAATGCCTGAGCACCAGGGATTCTGGTCAGCTCCGATTAAAAATCGCAAATTTTGTGATAAAAATTAAAGGCCCCCCACAGCCCCTCCCAATGCTGCTGGTGCCCCGCACTACCCCCCCAGTCTCAACAGCCCTCCTGATGCCCCTTGCAACAGCCCCTCAGACATGCAGACACACACACAGACACCACCCCAGCAGGTGTGTGGGGAGAAGGGGTGGGGCAGGGGAAAGGGAAGGTGTGGGGGGATAGATCAAGAAGGAGGGGGGAGTGTGCCCCCGTGTCCACTCTCAGGAGCAGGGCCGGCCAGGGGATGAGGGTAGGGGCGCCACCCTGTGGGCCACACGCATGCTGGCCAGCCTGACAGGAGATTTGAGCACAGAGGCTGCCACCACAACTCTGCCACTGCACCCTGTGCTACCATCCCACGGCCACGTGAATGGCTTTCTAGGCAAGCGGTGCAGGGTGCGGCAGCAGCAGCACGGTGGCAACCACTGGGTGTGGGCCACATATGTGCCGCCTGGCCGGGGAGGGGGGAGTGAAACAGGGGGCTTGCATGCAGCAGCATGCCCTGCAACTGGCTGCACGGCTCCGCAGTGGTGTGGGGTGGTGGCGGCTGCAAGCAGGGTGGGTGGGCTTTGTGGGCAAGCGCTGCTACTGTGGAGCCATGACCTTTGCCCCTGGATCCTAGAGGTAAGTGGGGCTTTGGGGCAGGGCTGGGGAAGATGGCTGGGGGCTGAGGGAACAAGGCGTGCTGCCGACCCCAGGCAGCACATCACAGCTGGGAGCAGGGCCAAGGGGTGAGGGCAGGGGTGACCCTCTGTGGTACTGTATTGGCTTTGCGGGCAAGTGATACGGGGCGAAGTGTGGTGTCTGCCATGTGCAGGCCGCCCA